TATATGCCTTCCCCTACCATCTTGTCCCCATGTTACAGTGGGAGAGGCCCCCCCCCCCAACTCCCCCTGCAGGCCCAGGGAGTCCCACCTCACAGGCTTGCTTCTCCATCTGTGTCACAGCCTTCAAGGCAGCGGTCCTGATCCAGAGATGGTACCGGCGCTACATGGCTCGCCTGGAGATGAGGCGGCACTGCACCTGGAGCATCTTCCAGTCTATAGAGTATGCTGGGCAGCAAGACCAGGTCAAGGTGCGATGGGATGTGGGATGGGGCCACCTCCAGCTCTGCCTTCCAGGCCCCACACAGCAAGGCCCAGGTGCCTAGAAGGTGCAGCTGATCTGGACCACTCCTGGGTTCTCTTTCTATCTCTAAAGCCACGTCTTCTTGGGTTTTTCTGCAGCTCCACAATTTCTTCAGCTACCTTGTGGATCACTTCACCCCCAACAGTCACAACGAGAGTGAGTATGAACGGCCACATGGCCGGTCCTCCTGTCTCAGGGTCAAAGACATCGGGGTGAGGTGTGGGATGCACAGGGAGGGGAAATGTGAATCTGGTGACAGCCAGGGAATGAGCGAGGAGGCTGACAAATATAAATGGTTCTCCTAGAAGCACACCTGGAGACAAAAGTTTGGGTGCAAGGAGTTTATTTGGTAAATACAGGAAACACTGGGAGGTGGGGAGGGAGTGGGGAAGGGACTCAGGAAAGGGGAGGCAGGCAAAAAAGGGTGGGTTACTAAACCTGCAGTGTACCTGGGAAATAGTGCAAAATGCAGCCTGGGAAGTATCCCGTCTGAAGGCAGAGGGAACTGGAGTCTCAGCGCCCGAGAGTCATTGGTAGAAGGCTGCTGGGAGGGGCGGACGGGAAGGGTTGTTCACGCAGGTCTGGCCTGCCATGCAGGGCTCTCTGCAGATCCAGGGACAAAGCCCTCAGGCAGAGATGCAGGGGCAGCATTTGGAAATGAATTGCCTGAAAGTCTGAGGCATCTGCCACACTCACTAAGTACACCAGAAATGCCCGTGAACTTTTTTTCCACCGCAGTTTTCGCTTTCCTCCTGCTTACCAACCTAGGCCTGTAAATTTCTGTACTTTCTAAGGCAATCTTTTAAAATAAAAGTAGAATGGAGGGCTTCCCTGGTGGCGCAGTGATTGAGAGTCCGCCTGCCGATGCAGCGGACACGGGTTCGTGCCCCGGTCCGGGAAGGTCCCACATGCCGCGGAGCGGCTGGGCCCGTGAGCCGTGGCCGCTGAGCCTGCGCGTCCGGAGCCTGTGCTCCGCAACGGGAGAGGCCGCAACCGTGAGAGGCCCGCGTACCGCAAAAAAAAAAAAAAAAAAGTAGAATGGAATTGACGTAATAACATAACCTTTCTCCCGCCCATCCTAATTTGTCATCACTTTGCCCTTTACTTTCTCCTCTCTTGTGTTGGAGCGGAAGCCAGACTGGCCAGGACCCACTTCAAGTATGGTCCAGGGAATGAATTCTATATTGCCCGTGCCTGCAGGTCTGATCATAAGCCGGCCCACCCTTTCTGTCCTGACTAGGGGACTTCCTGAACCGCATGTTCACTGAAGAGAGATCCCCCCAGGACTCCGAGATGGAGAATTGCAGGGACTATGAATCCATCGAGGTACCGGACAGTTACACGGGGCCACGCCTCTCCTTCCCGCTCCTTCCCGACCATGCAACTGCTCTGGTGGAAGCTTTCAGAGTGAAACAAGTAAGCTCCCCCCGGGGGACCTGGGTCACCACCAGTTCCACGGAATGTGTAGTAGAGCAGACACAGTGCAGAAGGAATGGCCCTGGATTTAGGGTGTTTGTGTCAGGGATCCGTGCCCTTTTCTTAGCCAGGACCTTGTGATTGATCAGCCAGTTTTTATGTATTGAAAATCCCTCCTCCCCATCATGTAATCTCTGTGTTCATTCATCCCACAGATGATTACTGAGCGCTGCTGTGTGCAGCTACTCTTCTAGGCACTGAACAGTGAACAAGACAGACACAAATCTCTGCCCTCATGGGGCTGAGATTTTTAGTGGGGAGACAGATAATAAAAACTAACAAATGAGTAATATTTATATATTAATATATTAGGTGACAGAGCTATGTCAAAGCATAAACTAAGTTCTAGATGGGAGAGATGGCAGTTTTACAGAGTGGTCTGGGAAGGTGTCACTGAAAAGGTGATTTCTGAGCAAAGGTCAAAGGTGGGGAGAGAGGGTGCTATGTGGACGTCTGGGGAATGCGTTCTAGGCAGAGGGGACAAATGGAAAGGCCCTGAGGCAGGACCTTGCCTGGACTGCTCGGGGACATCAGGAAGGCCATTGTGGCTGGAGAGGAGGGAACCAGGGAACAACCATTAGAAGATGGAGACAGAGAGGTGAGTAGGTGAAAGAGATGGGGAGACAGTGAGCGCAGAAATGATATAATCCAGCTTTCCCTTTAATATAATCATGCTGTTTGCCGAATAGAGTACTGGGAGCAAGGGCTGAAGCAGGGAGGCCAGTCAAGAGACTACTGCAATAGTCTAGGCGAAAGTTGATGGTGGCTTGAAACCCTGGTGGTAGAGGTGGAACTGTTGAGACGTGGTCAGATTCTGGCTCTTATGACAGATTCCAATCCTTCCCCTTTTTCATATGAAGATAATTCATTGCAGGAGGAGCTGGGATGATTTTCCCAGTAATGTCAGGATCACCGATACCATCGATATACATGCACTTATTCATACTTTGCCGAGACGATCATGTGTTTCTCCCACGCTCAAGGCAAGCAGGGATTACATAGAGTACGTAGGAAAGAGGACATCAGTTCAGTATTTGGGGGATGATGCAAAGCACAAACGAGGGCACAGATGGGTGAGAAAGAAAGGGTCTGTGCATAGGGAGGGTCCCAGGAGCAGTTTACTGGGGTCACTTTTGTGGTCTTGGGGTCATTAAGCAGTAAAGGTGAGGCCCATCTTCCCTCACAAGTATGTGTTGTTTTGTCCCATCCCTCCTCTTCCTCCTAGTAGAGGCTCCATGCTCGCTATGTCTTGAATCTTTTGTACGAAGCCAGGAAACATCTGGTACAACTGCCAAACATCAACCGGGTCTCCACTTGTTACAGCGAGGAAATCACAGTATGTGGTAAGAGCCAGTCAGAAACGGCTTTTCACGAACCAGAAAACTCTGCCTGTCATCAGGGAGGGGCAGGAGGGCTGGAGGGGACCCGATGGCCACTTGGGCAGGCCGGGTTCACGCCTTCACAGTGATTACATTGACATATTTACTCCACAGTTATTTAAGGTAGGGGTGGTGCCATGAAGGAGAACTGTGGGGTGAGAGGGCCCAGCCTCTGCTTTGTTTTTCCCAGAGATTCAGATTTGGCCCCAAATTCATCCTCTCCATTCAGAACAAAATCCTAGCAAATAACCAGACTTTCCCTTGTTGGAAGACGGTTTACTTACTTACTGGACTTGAAAAGGCCTAAATGCCCAGCAAATGATTCCTTCCAGCCACGTTTATTCTTCTTCCAGAGACAAATCCTATTGCTGACAACCCTCTCCACCTCCTTATGTTTTCAGTGATGTCTTAGTAACCATTATAGACTGATGCCCCGCACTTGAACTTAGGGGAGACGGTGATACACCAGGTGATTGTAAACTGGCGGCCTGCAGTGTGTCTTGTCTGCCTCAGAATGTTCTTAAATTTCTAACATTAGTCTCCAACGTTTGAAAATTGGAGGATTTCATATTAAAATCCAGATTTCCAACTTCTTAAAATCTTGTAACACTGACCCGGGAGTAGCAGCTTCTTGCTTTTAGGTGGGGCAAAAATCTCTCTAGTTCTCATCCAGGTTTTCAACCCTGCACTATTCTGTCCCATTTTTGCTTCAGTGAAAATGTAAGTCATTTACTGTTCATGGTAATCGCACAGGAGAAATATCGTGCTTTCTGCTTTCAATATTAACTGTCCCTGCAACAAGGGAAGTTAATATTTATCCCTGTCTTATATATGGAAAAATGAGTAAGCATAAGTTTCTTTGTCAGGTGCTCCTGGGTATTTTCCTTTTATGTAAATTGAGATATAACTGGCATAATACTGTATTAGTTGTAGGTATACAGCGGGTATTTTCCTTTTTATAACAAAAAATCAGAGACAACGGTGAAGACCAATCAAAACTGACGTTTTTCTGTCTTTGTTAGGAGATTTACACGGCCAGTTGGATGACTTAATATGTATATTTTATAAGGTATGAACGCTCAAATTATGTTCCTGTCTTGCTCTGAGGTTTAATTTAGAAGTTCAAATACAGTCTCCATTAAAGAAATGCTTAAGTCATTACTTGGATTTTAAAATACTTTAGAATAATATTTGCTACTATGTAGCAAATGTGTAATGTAAAAGTCATCACTGTACTATATTCTAGTGTAGTTTTGTAAACTGTTTAAAAAATACAAAATCTAAGGTTAATAAAGAGAAAGAATCATTATCTGGAAAAAAGAAAATCAATTACTAAATAGAGAAATTGTTTATTATCAAAGCAACCAAAAGCTATTTTCATATCTATTTTTAGTTATCAAATACAGAGCATATAACAAGCTATATAAACATTCTATTAATGTAATTAACACAAAGCAGTTTCTGATGTATTGTCTTGTTAAATCCTGAGAAATCTATGGCAGCTATTGTTATTATTGCTAGTTAAGGACAGAGTGGCCAGAACTTAAAACGGGGCTTGGAATTACAAGTTCAGTGCCCTTTGCACAGACCACCTGGCAGCAGTGTGGCGTTGGATAACGCATTTATTTCGATGAGCACGTCATAACCTCAGCCTGGCTAGAAAGGAGATATGAGACTAATACAAAATATTTCCAATATTCCCATCTTTTACTGACATTTCATGTTTGGAAGAGAGCCAGACAGCACAGAATTGGCCTTCAGGCCTGATATGACTGTCAAATGCACACTGGCTTGACCCAATTTCCTATTCCCTTCCCTCCACTGCCTCGTCTTGGACTTCTCTCCTTATTGGGAAGAACGGCCTCCCGTCACCAGAGCGGGCCTATGTGTTCAACGGCGACTTTGTGGATCGAGGGAAGGATTCAGTAGAGATCCTGATGGTTCTTTTTGCCTTCATGTTGGTTTACCCAAAAGAGTTCCATCTCAACCGAGGAAACCATGAGGACCATATGGTGAACTTACGGTACAAAGCGAAACATGACTGGGGATTTGATCCTTACTTGTTGTGATTGTAAAGTTATTTTGCCAGAGGTTCTTATTTGTTAGATGCCTTTTTAAAGTAGTCTTCCAATTTTCTAAAGTGGAATACACAATATATACCATTTTAAAAGATTTTTTTTTTAAATTTATACAATATCCTACTGTTCTGATAAAACCATTACATTTGTTTTCACATAGCCGTACACTTTATCATATAAACAATAAGGGTTCACTATAGAAAAAGTAGAAAATATAGATAAGCAAAAGAAAATTAAAATATCCCACATCTCTTGGGCTTCCCTGGTGGCGCAGTGGTTGGGAGTCCGCCTGCCAATGCAGGGGACACGGGTTCGTGCCCCAGTCCGGGAGGATCCCACATGCCGCGGAGCGGCTGGGCCCGTGGGCCATGGCCGCTGAGCCTGCGCATCCGGAGCCTGTGCTCGGCAACGGGAGATGCCACAACAGTGAGAGGCCCGTGTACCGCAAAAAAAAAAACAACAACAACAAAAAAATATCCCACATCTCTACCCACAGATAATGGTATGATTTTAAACATTTTGGCAATTACTTCTCAGTGTCTTTTCCATATATTTAAGTAGATGCATCTAGAGCATGCATTTTTATAAAGATGCAAGCATGCTATAACTGATATCACTAAATCTAAAATCTGTTTCTGCTTCTAACTCTAGATATGGTTTCACAAAGGAAGTGATGCATAAATATAAGGTACGCTGCCTTTAAAAGCAAAAGCTTCTCTTAGTTCAGATAAGTTGAGTAAATTATTTGAAACTTAATATCATATTTATGTCATTTTTTTAGACACATGGCAAGAAAATACTAAAACTACTGCAAGATGTGTTCTGCTGGCTTCCGCTGGCCACTCTGGTTGATGAGAAAGTCCTGATTCTTCATGGTGGAGTGTCAGACATGACTGACTTGGAGTTCTTGGCTAACCTAGACAGGCACAAGGTACTGACTGAGTGCTAAAATAATGCAGATTTCACTGTAATGCCAGGTGTCACTGCCAACATAAAACAGATGTCATCTTGACTCCATGCTGACTCCAGCTGACTAATAAATCCATTAAATCTTTGAACGGAGGATTGGGAATCCACAGCTGGTGCAAGCGTGCTGTGATCAATTAATGTTTGCCGTGGACCTGACAGTAGGGTGTGGCAGCTAGTGCCATCTGTTTGCCATTCCTGATCTAGGTAATTCTAATCACTACCCCTCAATCACTGCCACCTGATGTGCCTCCATTTCCTAAATAATTCAGATCATCTTCAGTTAAACTCAAAGGTATATTCAGGGCCTACTACATGCAGGGAGGATGCTATTGGCAGATACGAAGATGAAGATCAATTGCAGTTAAACTCAACAACGATGTTTTAATTGCTTACTCCATGCAAGGGAAGTGCTAGCAGAAATACAGAAATAACCAGAGATGGTACTTGCCTTAAAGGAACTTACAATAACCAGCAGGGGGAGGGTGAGAATGAAAGACAGAGTACATTATACTGCAATACGAATAGGTCTCGATTTTCTGTTTCATTTTGGAAGTGGAAAACTAGAAAGCAAAGATTCTAGGGAGTTCCCTAGTGGTCTAGTGGTTAGGATTCGGTGCTTTCACTGCTATGGCCCGGGTTCAATCCCTGGTCTGGGGACTGAGATCCCGCAAGCTGCACAGCGTGGCCAAAAAAAAGCAAAGATTCTGTTTCCTTTTAATCATAGACTCTTACACTTGAATGGTATCTTCCTATAGCCTCTCTCCTCCACTGCCCATCCACACAGGAATCCCAGCTATGGCATCCTTGACAACAGTAGCCTGAGCAGTTCCAAAGGCAGAGAAGTCATTACACACAAGCCAGTCTACGTTGGGCAACTCTAATTGGTATAAAAGTCTATTTTATGAGACATAAATGAAAGAGAGTTTCATTTAT